AAAATCTAATAGTAATTTTTGAAAGTAGCTTTCCAAAAAAGAAAGAGCAGGATTATCATGATACCAAAACCAGAAACAAAATCACAAAAAGAATATAGGCCAAAATCCTTAATAAATACATAACAAGAATCAGAAAATCAAGCAAATATAGCCAAGGAACATATAAAAATAATTACACACAATGACCAAGTGAGATTTTATTTTCACAAATGTAATATTGGCCTTATATCCAAAGGTCAATTACAATAATACACTTTACTTAAATAAAGGACAAAAAATTTGAAGCAACAGAAAAACATATGACACATTTAACACCCATTTTATTAAAGAAAAAAAGAAAAAAAAAACTCCCAGCCCAATAACAGAAAATATTAAGGTTGGCTGTGGTGGCTCATTCATGTATAATAATTTGAACACTTTGGAGGCTGAGACAGGAGAACAGCTTAAACCCAGGAATTGGAGACCACTCTAGGCAACACAGCCAGAGTCTCTCTTTACAAAAAAAATGAAGTATCAGCTAGGCATGGTGGGACATGTCTAAAGTCCCAGCTATTGAAGAAGCTGAGGCAGGAGGATCACTTAAGACCAAGAGTCTAGGGTTACAGAAAGCTGACATGACACTGCAGAAACAAAGCAAAACCGTGTCTCCAAAAAAGAATCCTGCCACAAGTCACCTATGAAAACCTAAAACTAACATTATACTAAGTGGTGAAAGAATGAGTGCCTTACCTATAATTTTAGGAACAAGACAAAAACTTCATTTCCTACACTCCAACACTGTACTGCAAGAATTAGCCAGCAAATTCATACTATAATGAAATAAATTCTCCAGATTAGGAAAAAAAAACTGTATTACACTGCACACAACAAAAACTTCCACATAAAAAAAGGGTAAGAAAAATTTGAAAATCATTAGAATTACTAGAGTGTATCTGTGTCACAAGATTCAATATGAACATGCAAATTACATTAGATTTTTATACACTTGCAATCAACAATCTGAAAACTGAATCAATTAAGAAAACAATTCCTTGGCTCAGTTCAGTGGTTCACGTCTAAAATTTCAACATTTTGGAAGTCTAGCTAGGAGGATCACTTAAGGCCAGGAGTTAAAGAACAGCACAGGTAACAAAGCAAAACACTAACTCTACAATAAAATTTTTTAAAAATTGCTGGATGTGGTGGCACACCTGAACTTGTAGAAGCTAGGGAGCCCAAGAAGTCTGAGATTAGGAGGGTCAGCTAGGAACATACCATCGCACTTTGAGTGACAAAGTGAGATGTTGTCTATAAAAATAAATTTATAAAGAATATTATAAATTGATCTACAAATTCAATGAATTTCAAATTTTCAACTATCTTTTTTAATAGAACTTGACAACTTTCTCAAAACCACATGTATATCAAAAGGAAAACAATAGCCTAAAAAAAATTTTTTTTTTTTTTTAGTCAAAGTCTCACTTTGTAGCCCAGGCTGGAGTGCAGTGACACACTCACAGCGAGTCCAGCGTTGACCTGCTGTGCTCTGGTGTTCCTTCTGTCTCAGCCTTCCAAGTAGTTGGAATTACAGATGCACACTACCTTGCCCAGCTAATTTTTTATTTATTGTAGAGATGAGGTCTCACCAAGTTGCCTGGGCTGGTCTCGAACCCCTGGGCTCAGGCAATCCTCTCGCCTCAGCCTCCCAAAGTGCTGGGATTACAGGCTGAGCCACCAAGCCCAGTCCTAAAAACAATTTTTAAAAGGAGTAACAAAATCTTAAAGTTTAAATTTACCATAATGAATTCTTATTTACTACAAAGTAGTAGTAATCAAATACATGGTAGTAGCATAAAAAGACTTACATAGAGCAATAGAAGACTTGAACCTTTGTTAATAAACACACATATTTATGGTAGTGTGATTTTGACAAAACAGACAAGAAATTTCAAAACAAAGAAAACTGTTCAACAAATTAGATACTGACCTATCATATTATCTAATTAAACAATAAGAAGCTGGACCCTCCTAACTTCCCACATATTAACAAGTGTCATAATAATAAAGGGAAAGAAAGAAAAAGAAAACTCAAAAGGTTCATACACCTAAATTTAGCTACTGACATTTTAAAGACTCTTAGGATGTATACTAAACCTGTGTGATTTTGGATTAAGCATGAATTTTTCGGTTTTATACCAAAATAAATATGAATTTGTTGCTCATCAAATTTAAAATGTTTCGTTCTTTAAACATGAAAATATAAAAATATAAGTCACTGAGAAAAACCAGCAAACATTTTGATATTAGATTTTTAGCCTCCAGAATTAAGCAAATAAAGTTAGCTTCTAAAGTCACTCAGCAAGTGGCAATGTGTTATGGAAGCTCTAGCAAGCAGACAGTAGTCTATTAGGACACACATAAGATATCGCCTGCAGTATGACTGAGATAACACGAGAATTGAATTACACCAATCTTTATCAGTACTGAAAGTTGAACTGCTATGGAAAACAGTCTTTCCTAAGGAGTATTATGAGGACAAATGAGGCCACCCTATTAAAACTGATGGTTCATTAGGATTGAAGATCTTAAAGGGAAGAGACACTGACTGCTACATGAGAAAACTGCAATTAGTAGTTAAAATAATAAAAACAGTAACATGAAAAGATACTCATAGCCTAGTGTAATGTGAAAACAAAGCAAAACTTTTTTTTCTGATATTTCTACAAGTGTATGAACATGAACTTTGCATATAGCCAAGTTGTTAATGGGGACTACTGGAAGCCAGATTCTTTGGAAAGTGAGACTATGGGCCACTAAATTGGTATTAGCACTAACCTAAAGTAATCTCCATACTCAGGTCTGGGTCCTGGGTCCACCCTGGTCATCTCAGGTGCTAGGCTGTATAGGTAAAGAGCCTTCTGTAACTACTCTCAGCACAACCCAGTACTGGCCATGGTTGATGGTGTGGTGCACCTGTACCTTAAGCAAAGAAATGAAGAGGTTAAATGCATTAAACAGCTCATTTATCTCCTGTATGGAGCTTTGCAAAGAGAGTACAAAACTGGCCAATGGCCTGCCAGGCTCTCCCCACAAGGGGAGACTCTGACTAAAAAATCTGTACACTAGGCCAGGTGGAATGGCTCACCCTGTAATCCCAGTACTTTGGGAGGCCGAAGTGAGAGGACTGCCTGAGTCCAGGGGTTCGAGACCATCCTGGGCAACCTGGTAAGTTCTCATCTCTACAATAAATCAAAAAATAAGCTGGGCATGGTAGAGTGTGCCTGTAGTTCCGGCTACTTGGAAGGCTAAGGTGGAAGGATTGCCTAAGCCCAGCAGGCCAACTCTGTGGTGGCCATGAGTGTGCCACTGCACTCCAGCCTGGGTGAAAGAGTGAGACTACAACTTAAAACAACAACAACAAAAATTCACACACTAGATCAAGGACAGAGAATTTCCATACATCTCCAGCCATGGAAGAAACCCATGACAACTCAAGGTCTCAGAACTAGTATCTGAGTAGACAAGCTTTATTCCCAACATATACCTTCTCAACCTGCCAACCATAATGTGGAGTATGAACATAAAGACTCTTCACTGTTCCAGAACCTAACAACCACCTCCTTCCCAAGAGGGCCACTATTCTGCTCCTCACTCTACCCACAATAAGGGGGAGATGTGGGCTGCCTAGATAGGATAACAAGTGAGAACTGACCTGGATGGGCCTGATCTGTATTACCTGGTGTCTCTTGTCAAATAGCCTGTAGCATTGAAGGTAAGGGGTTAAGGGTTGAACCAAAGTCTGTATCTTCAGATATGGCTCTCATTCCATATCATCCTAAGGCAAGAGCCTTAGAAAGTTGTAATACAGCAGAACATCTTGTTTTCTTTAGTCTCTGAAGAACTGAGCTGAATCATCTTTAGAATATGGGTGCCTAGTTACCAGTCTTCTAAGTTCTTTTGGTATGTTATCAAGGAAATGAGGTCACTTATTCAAGGCTTTACCTATCTCTCAATAAGATCTATCCAGTTATCTTGAGCCTGCTGACTGCCTACACTCCTCCCCCAGGTCAACTCCATACATGTTTACAATTATGCAAACATGGACCCTCACTTCAGACTCCTGGGAATGCAGCACTGGCCACAGGTTTCAGGACACAGTGCTGTGTAAGAAACTCCTTTGTTCATTTGTTCTGTGATCCTAGATATAGTGTTGTCCCTCTCAGGGCCTCCAGGATGGTCTCTCATCCTGCACAATGGGGATCACGCTAGGATCCCATTCAAAAGGAACTCATCAGAAATATATAATAGTTACATCTCCTGTGGAATGGTATTACACATAGCTAACGTATGCATTTACAGAATTACAAGGGGTAGGACAAAGCACAGAACACAACTCAAACATGCCTAGGTTGTACCAGTTGGATCATGGGAAAGTCATTTCTCTCTTGGTCTAATTTCCCAAGACCCACTATAATGAGAATTATAATTTCCCAAGACCCACTATAATGAAATTTAGATACTGTCACACTGTGGCAATAAACATTACAATGCTTCTCCATTTTGTTTAAAATCAGGTCCATGTGTCTCTTCTTGGCCTATTTGTGGGGTAGCCTCCACCATGGGTCACAATGATCCCTACCTCCCAGTGTACACACTCTTGTGTAACCAGTAGGTGGTTAGTGACTCATTTTAGGTTGGTACAGTGCAATGAAATGTATGAAATGTCAGTTCCAATATTTAGTTACTAAAAGATATATCTGCCATAACATCAATATTCCCGATTTTTGGGAAACATTGGCAAATAAATTACCTTTTGGCAATGTCATTAGATTATTCTATAGAATAAGTACTCTGGTTCTATGCAGTCTTTGCTCATGTAAATCTTCTGACCGACTCAGACTTAAGTTTTGACTAAATAGTTCCTCATGTTTATCACATCTATAATGTTTCTTTATCTATAAACTCTACAGTGATTTTGAAATTTTATATTTTGCACAAAACTGTTGGCACCTTAATTATGCTTAAAGTGTTTCTCTAATATGAATTATCTTATGTTGAGTCAAATTTGAGGACCATTTAAATGATTTGCCACATTCTTTACATTTGTAGGGTTTCTCTCCAGTATGAATTCTTTGATGTGTATTAAGACTTGAGGACCGAGTAAAAGATCTGCCACATGCTACACATTTGAAAGGCTTTTCTCCAGTATGAGTTCTCTGATGTTTAGAAAGGTATGAATTCCATGTGAAGGCTTTGTCACACTCTTTACATTTGTAGGGTTTCTCTCCAGTATGAATTCTCCTATGTTTAGTAAGGTATGAATTACACATGAAGGCTTTACCACACTCTTTACATTTGTAGGGTTTTTCTCCAGTATGGATTCTCCAATGTTTAGTAAGGTGTGAATTACATGTGAAGGCTTTGCCACACTCTTTACATTTGAAGGGTTTCTCTCCAGTATGAATTCTCTGATGAATTATAAGGTGCGAACTACAACGAAAGAGTCTACCACATACTTTACATTTGTATGGTTTCTCTCCACTGTGAATTTGCAGGTGACCACGAAGACTTGAACTAAAGTAAAAGGCCTTGCCACATTCTTTACATTTGAAGGGTTTCTCTCCAGTATGAACTCTCAGATGTGCATTTAGACTTGAAGAATGAGCAAATAATTTACCACAGTTGTTACATTTGTATGGTTTAACTCCACTGTGGATTTTTTGATGACCAAGTTGTGGACTAAAGCAAAGTACTTTACCCCATTCTTTGCATTTGCGTGATTTTTCATCTATGTGAATTCTCTGATGTCGAGTGAGGTTTGAACTAGAATTAAAGGCTTTGTCACATTGTGTACATTTGTAGGGCTTCTCTCCAGTATGAGTTTTCTGATGTTGAGTAAAGGCTGATCGATGTCTAAATAATTTATCACATTTTTTACACTGGAAGGGTTTCTCTCCAGTGTGAATTCTCTGATGTTCAACAAGCTGTGAACTACGATAAAAGGCTCTGCCACATACATTACATTTGTATGGTTTCTCTCCAGAATGAGTTCTCTGATGCTGAATAAGACTTGAGGAATAAGAAAATGCTTTACTACATTCTGTACATTTGTAGGGTTTTTCTCCAGTATGAATTCTTTGATGTTGAATAAGGTTTGTACTAAAATAAAAGGCTTTGCCACATTCTTGACACTTGTAAAGCTTCTGGCCAGTATGAATTCTCTGATGTTGAATAAGTTTTGAAAAATAAGCAAATGATTTACCACATTTTTTACATTTGTAGAGTTTCTCTCCTGTGTGAATTCTCTGATGTTGAACAAGGTGTGAACTACAGTAAAAAGTTCTGCCACATTCTTTACATCTGTAATGTTTGATTCCATTATGCATTCTCTGATGCAGAACATAACTTAAGGAATGAGCAAACATCTTGCCACATTCTTTGTATTTGTAGGGCTTTTCTCCAGTATGAATTTTCTGATGTTGAGTAAGGGCTGAACTAAAGTAGAATGTTTTACCATATTCTTCACACTTGTAGGATTTTTCTCCAGTATGAATTTTATGACGTTTAATAAAGTATGAACTACAGTTGGAGGCTTTGCCACACTCTTTTCTTTTGTATGATTTCTCTCTAATATGAATATCCTGATGATGAGTAAGATGTGAGCTATCATAAAAGACTCTGCCCCAGTCTTTATGCTTACAGGGCTTCTCACCACTATGAACTGTCTGATGTTGTATAAGGTATGAGTAGTGGCTAGAGACTTTTCCCCGTTCTATATATTTGTAGAGTATCTCACCAGTATGATTCTTTTTATTTCTATTTAGATGAAGTGACTGACTGAAGACTTTTCCACCTTTATTACATATGCTTGAGTTTTCTCCAGTGTGAATGATCTCATGTTGAATAAGATTTGAGGACTGGCTAAAATTTTTACCACATTCATTACATTTGTAATATTTCTGGAGAATGCAAATATTCTGATGGATAAATTTTGAGGACTGATGAAAGATTTTCCCACATTTGCTACAATCGTAATTCTCTGAAGCATCAGTACTCTGACATTTAGTAGGACTTGAGTCATGATTAAAGTTTTTCTGAGTTTCATCACAAACAATACATGTCAAAGACTGACATTGATATTCACTTACAGAAACACATGGTTCTGTACCATGTTCTTCATCTACTTTTGCAGTTAAACTTCTGTTATGGTTAACTGTTGTACATTGGACATAAGCACTAGAACATTTCCTTTGCATTTCACTTTCATCTAGACTTTTCCAGTTTTTTCTTAATTGTAAATTATCAAGAGAGCATGTTGCATTTTTTCTCAGTATCAGTCTTGGGAATATATTTTCTACATGCTGCTGTGTCAACAGGTCTTGTGCGTAATGAGAATACAACTCTGAAAGACATAAAAATTTTCAAACATTTCAATGACTAGATTCCAGTGAATACTATATATATCTAATATACAAAACTATTCTAGCCAGGCATGGTGGCTCACACCTGCAATCCCAGCACTTTAGGAGGCCAAGGTGAGAAGATTACCTGGGCCCAGGAATTCAAGATCAGCCTGGGCATCATGATGAAACCTAGTCTCTAAAATAAATGAAAAAATTAACCAGACATGTCAGTGAATGCCTGTATTTCTAGCCACTTGAAAGGCTGAAGTTGAAGAACCACCTGAGCTTGGAGGTCAAGAGTATGATAGCTGTGAGCATGCCACTGCACTTTAGTCTATGTGATAGAGTGAGATTCTGACCAAAAAAAAGAGCCAAGCTCAGAACACAGTCATAGTTAAAGCAAAAACTAAAGTCAACTTTTAATCAATATACAACTTAAATAAACAGGATGAAAAAAGTCAGGTCTACAGCACCCCAGGTGACCTGACCAAAGCCTCAAAGCCAGTAATACCATATATAGAAGAAAATGTTTCTTACAACTGATCACCATAGCAAAACTCAGTTAGAAAAAAACATTTCACTCCTCATTTGTGCTTCAGAAAAAAACAAACAAGCAACAACAACAAAAGAACGTGTCAAAAATTTTGTGTTATTTTGTGGCTATTTTATTTCTTTACTTATTTTTATTTAATCAAACCCCAATTCAAGGTGCTTATACCTTCTGAATCTTCTTTTCTGTGAGTGTGTGCTGCAGGGTCTCATTCTATATCCCAGGCTTAAGTGCAGTGGCACCTTCATGGCTCACCATACCCTTAACCTGCTGGACTCAAGTGAGCCACCATCCTTTGCCTCCCAAGTAACTGGAAGTACAGACATGTACTGCCATGCCCTGGCTTTTTTTTTTTAAATGCAATATTAAAGAAAATTAGATATAGTTAAAATGACAGGTTGGGCCAACTGAAGACAAATATGAATGATTGTCGTGAGACAAACAACCACCTATCACACTAACTCAGATAAACAAAAAATCAAAATCTCTTTTAAAAATGAAATGAAAACCTATTTCACAACAATAAAAAAACAAACACAGCAGTCCACAGAAGATACAATGTTAGCAACACACCCACCTAGAATGTCCAACACAAACTATGTCAGTAAGCCATTCTAGAAAGGCTGGAACAGGAGGTTGTTTTTCACCTGATAAGACTCTCAAGAATGCCACAAAACATCAAAGTAGCCAAGACCTGTGGCCCAATCAAGGAACCAAACTATATAGTCAAGGGAACCACAAGAAGTAGAGATATATGAATTAATTTTTTCAATTTTTTTTTAAAAGGCAAGGTCTCACTCTGTCACACAGGCTAGAGTGAGTGATGTAATCATAGTTTACAGCAGCCTCAAACTTCTGGGGTTCACCTACCTCAACCTCCAAAGGGGCTGAAACTAAGGCACACAGTATAACAACTAATTTCTTTTAAAAAGTATTTAACAGAAGGTCTCGCTATGTCATCCAGGCTGGTCTGAAACTCCTCACTTAAAGTGCTTCTCCCACCTCAGCCTCCCAAGATTACAAGCACAAGCGACCATGCTTGGTTAAAATAACTAACTTAAACGTGCCAAAAAAGCTAAATAAAAACACAGACAACTAATCAAAAGAAGAAAAATAATGCATGAAGAGAATGAGACAATCAACAAAGACATTTAAATGACAAAAACAAAATATAAGGTGTGGAGCTCAAAAATAAAATAACTGAATTTAAAGATTCATAGAGAATGTCAACACCAGACTTGATCTAGCAGAAGGAAAAAAACAGCAAGCTGGATAATAGGTCATTCGAAATTATAAGGACAAGAGGACAAAAAGAAAACAGAAAAAAAGCAAAAATGGAGCTTAAAGAACCTATGAAATACCATCATAATGGGTAGCATAGAATAAGAAGAGAAAAAATAGTAGGTAACTTTTTTGATGAAATAACGGCTAAGCAGTTTCCAAATTTGAGAAAGAAAATGGTCTAAAGCTTAAAGAGGCTCAACCTACTCTATCTAGAAGCCAACAGAGATGTACAAGAAACATTATACTCAGAGATTCAAAAGTTACAAAAGAGACAAAAATGACGTTAACAGACAGAAATCATATAAACTATCATTTCTGAGTATATTAGAAGAAAACCAGAAGTCAAAAACAGAAATAATTCTTGTATGCCAAACATTATGTGGAAATTAAAAAAACTTTCAACCATACTCTTGGATCAAGAGTGGGAAAGTTCATATTGTCAAATGTCAATACTACCCAGTAATTTATAGATTCAATATACTTGTTCAAAACACCAATGGAACTTTCTGCAAGAAGTATTAAAATATTCTAAAATGTTTATGGAATCCTAAGGAACACAAATAGTCAAACAATCTTGCAAAAGAAAAAAAAATAGAGAGGTATCATACTTCAATTTCATATTACAAAGTTATAGTAATCAAAACTATGTGCTACTGGCATGAAGACAAATAGGTGATAGAACAGACTGGAGATCCCAGAAACAAACCATCATGTATATTGAAAACTTATCTTCAACAAGAGTTCCTGGGGCTATTTTAACAGAAGACACAATGTAAGCAACACCCCCACTCAGAATGTGTAACATGAACTGTGTCAGTAAGTCATTCTAGAAAGGCTGGAACAGGGAGCTGTTTCTCACCTGATCAAACTCTCAAGAAAGCCACAAAACATCAAAGTAACCAAGACACATGGCCCAACATCAAAGAACCAAATGATAGTCAAGTGAACCATAAAAATGGCCCTCAAATAACACAAAACTCCAACTTATCCTCAACAAGAAGTCACAGTGATAAAAGAACAGTCTCCTCAACCAATAAGGTTGAAAATACTGAAAATCCATATGAGAAAAAAGTAAGTTGGACTTTACCTTGTGTCATAGGCAAATAACTTAAATGAGATGACGTGTTTTTGTGGATACTCTAAATGAAATTTTAAAAATTTCAGATGGTTTGCTATCAGAACTGCTACTATTTTTTGCATGTTCATTATATACTCTACAACTTGACTTAATTTATTAGTTCTAATTGTTTTTTGGTGTGATATTTAGGGTTTTCTATATATAAGAACAGTTTGTGTACAAACAGATAGCATTTCACCTCCTCCTTTCCAATTTGGACATCTTTTACTAATTATCTCTCAATTTCCAATTTGGATATCTTTTACTAATTATCTCTCACTAATAGCTCTGATAAAACTTTTAGTACTATGTTGAACAGGAGTGCTTAAGGTGGATATCCTTGTCTAGCTACACATCTCAGAGAAAAAGTTTTCATCTTTTTTCTGTTCAATTTGTTAGCATTGGTTTGTCATATGTGGCCTTCTTTGAGGTACATATCTAATATATCTAATTTGTTGGGTTTTAATATAAAGAATATTGAATTTCGTAAAATGTTTTTCTGCATATATAATAGCTAAAGAACATTAAGATACCTAGCAATATACTTAACTAAAAACATAAAAGATCTCTAAACTGCAAACTGTAAAGCATGGACAAAAAAAGTGAATATACATGAATAAAGATATCATATGTTCAAGAATTGAAAGAATATTGTTAAAATGGCCATATTACCCAAAGTGAGTGATCTAATGATTTAATGCAATTCCTACCAAAATATCAATGACATTCTTTACAGAAAGAGAAAAAAAAATTATAAAATGATACAGAATCACAAAACACCCTGAATAGCCAAAGCAAACCTGAGGGGGAAAAAAAAATGAGATGGCATCACACTCCCTGACTTTAAAATGTACAACAAAACTACAGTAATCAAAGCAGCACTGGACTACCATAATAGACCAATGTACCCAATGAGCCCAGAAATAAATTCATGCTCCTAAAACAAACTGGTTTTCAACAAAGATGCCACAAACACACTTTGGAGGAAAAAAATTGTCTTCAATAAATGATACAAGAAAAACTGAATATCTATACACAAAAGAATAAGGATAGAACCCTATTCCTCACCATATAAAAATGAACTCAAAATAGATTAAAGACTGAAAAACTACAAAACAATTACACAGAAACAGGGGGAATACTTTACAACAACATTGAATTGGGAAAGACTTTTAAACATAAGACTTGAGGCCGGGCTCAGTGGTCCAGTCTGTAATCCCTGCACTTTGGGAGGCCGAGGTAAGCGAATTGCCTGAGTCCACGGGTTTGAGACCAACCCAGGCAACTTGGCGAGACCTCGTCTCTACAATAAATTAAAAATTAGCTGGACAAGGAAGCACGTGCCTAGAGTTCCGGCTACATGGAAGACTGAGGCTAAAAAATCGACGGAGCCCAGCAGGTTGACGCTGGGGTGGCTCTGAGTGTGCCAGTGCACTCCAGCCTGGGCGACAGAGTGAGACTCCAACTCAAAAAAAAAAAAGGTCTTGAAAACAAAGGAAATAAGCAAAAATGAGCAACAGAGATTGCATCAAACTGAAAAGCTTTGCATGTTGAAGGAAACAACTAACAGTGTGAAGATATAACCTACACTATGGGAGATGATATTCATAAACTATACATATGACAAGAGCTTAATGTTCAAAATATATAAGAAACTTTCAAAATTCAAAACAAAACAAAAAAACATATAACCCAATTTTAAAATGGTCAAAAGACTTCAACAGATATTTCTCAAAAGAAGAAATACATACATATGGACAACAGGTACATAAAAAGATGCTCAATGTCACCACTTATCAAGGAAATGCAAATTCAAACCATGAGACACTACCTCACTCCAGACAAAAAATAAAAACACAAAAAGTATTAGTAAGGATGTGAAGAAATGCAAATGCTTTCACAGCGTTGGAGGGATTATACATTAGTATGGGCACTATAAAAATTGTATGGAACTTCCTCAAAAAATTAAAAATAAAGCTGCCATATGATCCAGCAATTCCATGACTGGATATACAAAGAGAACCCATCCCCAAAATTGACTTATTTTT